GGTTTGGGGCGGGCTTTCATGCTTTTTTTTTTCTAATCTCTCCCTAAAAATCATGCAAATTCATAAGACATTGCCAATTAGTAACAAAACAGCAATATGTGTCTGTGCTGGACCTTTGCAGTACAGTGCAAAATAAATTTAACTATTAACTTATAAGAGTAATATTTGGGAAATTGTGTATTTGGTTATGATGCTGATATTTCATTAATGAAGCTTACTGTATATTTAAACACAATTGATTCAATACTCTAACTTAAATTTAATTTGTCAACACATTTGTCATTGGAAATACATTTCACATTTACAAAAGCATACTTGTTTGTTCCTCTCACACTGATTACAGGGTCAAATGATAAATTATAGGGTCAATTAGTATTTTTTTTTTCACACTGTTCCTTGCACTATGCAATGTTATAACCTCAAAACACTTTTACCATAGTGCACTTTATTAGAAACTACTACATTTTGATGTTTGCTTTCCATAATCCTCTCAACTTTTTTTATGTAGTAAATTTGCTTAGTAGCTAAACACAACACATGTCACAGTAAAGGGCTCAAAGGTGTGTGAAAGCAAGCTAAAACATCATGGATGCTTTGTTATCACTATCGTTTAGGTTTAGGGTGGGGGTATGTTGATTTTAAACATAAAAGAGTTAACCATTTTGCACCACTTGCCAGACATTTAATTTCTAAACTGCAATGGTATGTGCATTGACATTCATATGAAATATGAATACTATTCTCTCCTTCCTTCATTTTTTAAAGTTAGACATCAAATTGCTTAGTATTCCTCAATCTATTCATTATAAACAATATGACAAAAAAATAAAATATCTGTTTTATGATGATTTTTTTGTAAAAAGTGTATAAGGTTGCTAGTGACCTGAGGTATGTAATAGTGTAAGCATATTTTCCCTGCGCAACAATAATTAAATATCTGATGACTCAAGTGCAGTTCACCTTTATTCCTTAAGGTGGCATTGTTTGATAGACAATGATGACGTGATGTATCACTCATAATTACCACATGACATACAACAAAAGAACATTATCAGGAAAAATTTAAATGGCTTGAATGGCTTTACTGCAGAGCAATTACTATACACAATGAAATATAAGTGTCATTTTCATTGGATGTTAGATGTGGTGAATAAGCTGTCAGCGATCAAAATATTGATTTTGAAGTAATTGAAAAACGAGATTATGGTTGAGATCGGGAATATGAGCCAGATGCTGAATGTACTGGGGATGTGCGCTGTGATGATGACAGTGATGGTAAAGGCATGTGCTCCCATTGAGCCCTTGAGTTTCAAAAAGCAACAAAATATGCTTTATTTTATTCTTTTGTGATTGGTGTTAAAATATCTGGAGAGTTTTCTGCTAATGCAATAGTTAGAGATCTGTCTGTGTTGGATATAAATGGTCTGGTTCGCTAAAGACCTGAATATGTAATAATGATTGGCGAAACATCCATGCATTTAAGGCTTAATAAACCCACATCTGAAATGGAGAGAGAAAAATGCCTCTTGTGGACATTTAACCTGAAAGTGCAGGAAATTTTAAAGATTTTGTAAATCATTCTCAAAGAGTTTGGCATAATTATGGCATAAAATGGCGCTGTGCATGAAATGGAAATGTGCAGAAAGAGCTTGTCATTAGCTTGTTCCTAATTTGTTATAGGAGTTTTATGCTGTTTCCCCTGCATGGGAGGTTTGTTTAGGTTTTGTTTGAGTTTGCATAATACAGTTCATGATTTGATTTGTCTCAACAGTTTATCACTGTGAATGGGGTGACGTTTCAGCAATTTCAGTAGGCTGATGGCAATTCCACTAGCAGGGCTTTCTTTGCTACTAAAATGCTCTAATTACTCGTAAATGAATGCATTGCTAACAATGTAAATGAATGAATTGCTCATTGACACCCCTCACTTTTCCTCATCTTTAATTCTTAATTAGGAGCTATTTCAGAATCCACTTAAGTATTGTTTGACAGCTCATGCATATTTAGACAAATATGTATAAGGGCATATTAACATGCAAAAAATCAGTGCATACAAAATGACTCAATTATGCAGGATGAGCCACAGCTCAGTGCACTGACATCGACAAGCTTTTATGCATGCTTAAAATGGCTTAATCTTTCCATACCGAAATAGACTGTTTCATTTTATATGTCCACATAATCACATGGTTGTTGCTAAGGTGTGGCTAGGTGGTTGCTTACTGGTTCAAGTAAAAAAACGAACCCACCCTCAAGTTCCTATGATATTAATGTCTCTAGATGCAAATATGCATTTTTCTTTTCACTTCACTGAAAAGCATAAGTCACTGATCCCATAGAAGAATAATAGCACAGGAGAGGCCTCGACAAGCTGTATGATCAGAGGTACTGTATCATTCACGTTGCTAGGACAATAGATGCACAAGTTTTACCCTGAAATATAATACTTGGGGTTGGGGATTTTTTACAGGAATGCGTACCTAAGCAGCTATACCACTAAGGCCGAGAGACTAAGATATTATGACCGAGTGACTAAGTAAAGGAGTCTGTGGTTGTATGCTGAATTGTTATTCAGTTTTGTCATGACAATGGTTGGAGTTGTCCCACAGACATCTTAATATGTCACATCTCTTCTCATCTTACTGTTTAATGGATCACATTGGAAAGCACTACTGCGACATTGTTCATCTTTCATTTTCCTCTTTGTCCCCATGGCCGTGTTCTGTGGAAGAGGTACAAGCTTGCCCATCTGGCAATCATGTCAAATTTTGTTTCTCACTTCTAGATCTTTCGAACAAATATTTAAGTTCTATTCTGTCACTGTCACTCATGACTTCAAATCGGATCTTGTCTTTTTCAGATCTCTCCTCTAGTCCTTGAGACACATTCTTGGATGAACTGGGGACTCTTTTTGGAAAACAGTGTTCCACCTGTCCCTCCGGGTGATGTCATGTCCAGATTGATGCTCCAAGTCCCCAGTGACTCAACAGACAGTGATCCATCTTGATCTTGTTTTCAACTGCAACCTTGCTCCATCCATGATCTCTGCTACACTTATACAACTGTCGGAACACTTCATTGTCTCATTTTAGGATGACCTCTTTCTCCTACTCATCAACAGTCTATTCACTCAAATTCATGGATCCTCTAGTTTCCCAGGATTTCACTATATTTTTTTATTCAACCTTCGTTGTCCTGGAAGAACTTTTCTATCAGCCAATCAGGTCTAGGGCTAAGGTTAGGGTTAAAGCTAGAGTTAGTAGTTTAACAAAATTCTAATCAACCTCTTTAGGGGTAGACAGTGGACCACCAAAATATTTAATCCAGGAATATCTTACTTGAGAAAGTCACAGTCACCAGACCATGATGTTCTTTGAGGGTCTGTCCAATCAAGCTCCTGTTGGGCCACCGTCCTGCAGAATTTAACTTCAACACTCCTGCTGGAAGTTTTTAGTTATAGTAAAGACCATGATTAGCTGGTTAATTATCATCAGGTTCTGTGTTGGGTGCATTGGTTGGCAAGCCTCCTCCAACGTGTTCGATCTGTGATCATGTTCTCAACATTTTCCTTTGAAACAGCAACGTTCTTCAGATTTTCTTGGATTTTTTTTTCTCCATGTTGATTTTCTGTACCACTTTCACAGTAAGTGGACTGGACACCCCTGGTCTACTTCCTCCTTCTATTCACATGAAGGGACCTCCTTAATATTCATTTTGAGGTAGCAATGAACTCCTAATTATTACCAGGAGAGACAACTTTTTACATACTTAAATATGTAGACTATCTTAATACAACATAATATCCCCAACACATGGCCGTAAATATGATGAGTGCAAGGGAAAAGCATTAGAGAAGGGCTCCTGTATGCTCTTATAATTCAGGAGGTAATTTGTTGTCTCTAATTAAGTGTTCAATGAGCCCGCGAGTGACATTGTGTGGACACCTGCAGCTCCAGTATCTGGCCTGTTTATTGTACCTTAGTGTTCTGTTTCACACTTTGAAGTCTTTTTCTTATTTTTTCCAGACCTAATTGGCCAGGGAGCACTGTGTGTAGAAGACAACAGTGAGATGAAGGGCTGTTTGTTAATGACCCTGCATTATTGTGAAAGTCAGATGCTTGTCAAAGGAAGGAGCGGTATCAATGTGGACATTTGCGTTAGATTAGATGAGAACAGGAAATTTGACTATGACTAAAGTGGTGCAGACAGTGCTTTTGCAATTCACTATTAGATTCTAAAGATACAGAATGTAACATCTTACTATTGCCTTGAAATTCTGTTTTAAAATTGTTGCGACTCATTGTGCAAGACAGAAACAGAACAGCAAGACATCATGAGATGGCTACAGATGTCAGTCTGACACATACAGTCAGGTCCATATATATTTGGACACAGGCACAATTTTTATTATTTTAGCTGCTGACCAAAACATGTTCAATTTGCAGTTATATTATGAATATGGGCTTAAAGTGCACACTCTGAACTTTAATTTGAGGGTATTCTCATCACAATTGGAGGAAATGTTAAGGAATTACAACTATTTATTATGTACCTCCACCCTTTTTCAAGGGACCATAAGTAATTGGACAGTTGACTCAAAAGCCATTTCATGGACAGATGTGGGCTATTCCTTCATTATTTCTACATCAATTAAGCAGGTAAAAGGTCTGGAGTTGATTCTAAGTGTCCCATTTGCATTTGGAAGCTGTTGCTGTGAACCCACATCATGCTGTCAAAGGAGCTCTCCATGCAAGTGGAACAGACAATTGTTAGGCTTCAAAAACAAAACAAATCCATCAGAGAGATAGCAGGAACATTCGGAGTGGCCAAATCAACAGTTTGGTACATTCTGAGAAAAAAAAATGCACTGATGAGCTCAGCAACATAAAAAGGCATGGACGTCCACGGAGGACAACAGTGGTTGATTATCAGAGGATCCTCTCCATGGTAAAGAAAACCCCTTTCACGCCATCCAGCCAAGTTAAGAACACTCTCCAGGAGGTAAGCATGTCACTGTCAAAGTTTACAGTCAAGAGAAGACTTCATGAGAGCAAATACAGAGGATTCACCACAAGGTCAAAGTCGAGAACAAAGAGAACAAATACAGAGTGTTCACCACAAGATGCAAACAAGGCCAGATTAGACTTTGCCAAAAAAAAAAAAAACATCTAAAAAAGCAAGACCACTTCTGGAAAAGCATTCTTTGGATGGGCGAAATTAAGATCAACCTGTACCAGAATGACGGGAAGAAAAAAATATGGAGAAGGCTTGGAACAGCTCATGATCCAAAGCATACAACATCATCTGTGAAACATGGTGGAGCAGTGTGATGGCATGAGCATGCATGGCTTCCAGTGGCACTGGGTTACTGGTGTTTAGTGATGACATGACAGAGGACGTCAGAGGACAGAGCAGCCGGAAGAATTCTGAAGTGTACTCTCTGCCCAGATTCAGACACATGGAGCAAAGTTGATTGGATGTCGCTTCATAGTACAAATGGACGATGACAAAAAAACATACAGCAAAAACAATCCAGGCGTGATTGAAGGTAAAAAAAGTGTAATATTCTGCAATGCCAAGTCAATCTCCTGATCTCAACCCGATTGAGCATGCATTTCACTTGCTGAAGAAGCTGCAGTAAAGGCCTGGCAAAGCATCACAAAGGAGGAAACCCAGTCTTTGGTGATGTCCATGAGTTCCAAATTTAAGGCAGTCAATGCCTGAAAAATATTCTCAACAAATTTTTGAAAATAAACATTTTTATTTATGATTACATTTATTTGTCCAATTACATTTGAGCCCCTGAAAACGGGGAGGGGGGCTGTGTATAAAAATGGTTGTAATTCCTAAGCATTTTATATTATATTTTTGTTCAGCCCCTTGAATTAAAGCTTAAAGTCTGCACTTCAATCACATCTTGATTGTTTTATGTCAAATCCATTGTAGTGGTGTATAAAGGCAAAAGCACACAATCTCAGTCAGTGTCCGAATACTTCCGGACCTGACTGTATGTACGCTAGTGTTGGGTAAGTTACTCAAAAAAAGTAATCCACTACAAATTACTAATTACCTCTTTAAAATTGTAATTTAATTACATTACTGATTACTGCATTTAAAAAGTAATGAGATTAGTAATTACTTTCAAGTTATTTTCAAGTTTTCTTTTCAAGTTATCAAACCTAAAAAAAAAAAATACATTACAAAGAGAAACTCATAGTTCTTTCATTAATTTAATGTTGACTGACAAATTACTTAAAGGGGTCATATGATGCTTTTTTAAAGATCATTATTTTGTGTATTTGGTGTAACAGAATATGTTGACATGCTTTAATGTTCAAAAAACACATTATTTTTCAAATCCGACAAGTCTGCTCTGCTTCAACACTAACTGCGGTTACTGAAACCACGCGTTCTTTCTTTGCGTGAACATTTGGGCGGCATTATGCTAATATTTCCACATAGTGAGGTAGATATGTGGGGGCGTGTTAGAACGAGCCGTTTTTAGGGGGGCGTGGCAGAGGCAGAGTCAAAGAATATCTCTTTGGTTTTGAGACTTTAGTCTTTGCAACTTCAGGGATCTTATCTATGCACAATCAGCTTGTAACACTCCAAAGAGAAAGGAAAACTTGAAATCGCATCATATGACCCCTTTAAGTGTTATTTGTATACACTCCCAATATCAACACAACTTTTTTTTTGGTTTTGTAAAATAAAGAAACCAAATAGGGTGCACTTTCTGCATTCTCAGTCTCCGTCTTCCTGAAACGAGTCACTAAAATGAACAAAAATTAATTATTTTATATTGTATTATTAAATGAAGTAAGTCATTTTGAAAACAAATATTCTCTGATAAAATAATCTGTATGAAACCAATGTGAGGTACAGTCTTTCCCACCTGAGCTCACTTATAATGTGATCACGCCCATGCACATTGTGCGCTATACGATAATCATCCACGCGAAACCAGGCTTGAGACGCGCAGATATGTAAATGTCCACATCACCTCTGTAAACAAATAAAGATTCAAGTTCATCTCAGCTACTTTTCATTTTTGGAAGAAGACGCGCTGTGAGGAATAAGCCTTGAATTTATCTCAGAAGAAGAATGTGATGCGACATGGCTTAATCCAGAGGAGGATCTCATTCTGATGAGTCATTTATTTTTACTTATATTAGTGTTGCTGTGACATAAACTTGTACACATTCACTTGTTGAACTTTTACCAAACTATAATGCCAGACTAAAAATGTCGAGTGCAACATTTTGAAATATGATAGGCAACCTTTCATTGCATCTAAATGCTGCAGGACTCGTCTGCATTTTAGCTCGCATTCTCCGGTGATTTATTAAAGGGCATACTGATGCGCAAAACATGATTTTTACTTATTTTATTTTTTTTTACACTGCATTTGTAACTTAAGTAACGTCATTTTATTGACATTAATAACTGTAATCAAATTGCATAAATTTGAAATGTAACACATTACTGCTTTTCCAGGAAAAGTAATTAGAATACAGTAACACGTTACTGTGCAAAACACTATACCCAACTCTGATGTGCACTGCCCAAAAAAGGAGCATTCTCCCAGTCCCACCTCCAGAATTTGAGCAGTCAAATTGGCCAAAATATGCATATACTGTATACTGAATGCTAGAAAAAAGAAAAAAAAAACCTTGATTCTACTAAACATAATAGAAATGACTGTATTTCTTCACAGAAAAAGTGACTCAGATACCTATGTGTAGTTTCTGTCTGTTTCAACTTCTGCCAAGTATCCTGCACACATCTTCACTTTGAAATCTTTCACTTTCACCTTCATCATCTTGAGCTGAGGTGAGTTCTGACAGTCTAGACACATCTTTATACCGTCCAAGATAATGCAAGCGATTGTTTCCTTTGTATTCCTTGACACAGTGATGTAAATGCAATTTCATCCAAACTTTATTCTAGTTTAGCTGTCATCTAGAAAGCATCTAACATGAAAGTCATTACACCAGAGAAAATTTCAGATGAAAATATTAGCTTATGCGCCTATTTAGTATTAATTGCTTTTGCACCATTGGTTTGACCTTAGATAGGGAACAGATACACAGTCAACACTCTGAACATGACTGAAGGTCAGACTACTGACTTTTCAGTTCATTAGTGGTGCTTCCTGAGGCAAGCATCACTATTCATGCAAAGGGTTAAGAATTGTAAGAAACCCCTTAAGCATATTTAATCTGGATTTTTTTTCTCTCTCAAAGACAAGTACCACTCATTTGAATTCGTATGTTGATATACTGCACCAGTAAAAACCACCAATATAACTGATATTGTTCATCACACATTTCCCTGCTTACTTCTTAACTTTGTCTGTGTCACATATACAGCACAAATGCACCTCACCAAGACTCATCCTCCAAAACTGAGCATCAGTAATTAATGGCACAGGCCTTGATTCTCCATTACTGACTGTCAGGTGTCTTCCAGGGAGCCTCTTTTAATGCAATTGCAGTGCTTTTGGGAGAAAACAGTGCTGTGGTTTATTTTCTGCCACAGCTAGATATAGTACTAATGAATGTGAAGAAAGGCCTGGTTTCTTGTTTCTTTGGCTCATTTAATTGGAGCAGCGACATTAGACTGGTATTAGGTGTGTGATTGTTTTTTGTCTCACTAAGAGGGACCAAACAATTCCCTTTTTATTGTCGCTGTGGGTAGGATATGGTTAAAATGGTTATCACTCTACCACAACAAATACATAGTCCTGGAAATACATTGCCATTGTAGTTACTAGCTAGTTATTCAGTGTTTTAGAATATACAAGTATTAATATATTACAAATTATGTCCCAATGAACTATAATACATTCTAGAATCATTGATTTAAAATAGCTTTAAAATGTAACTTCTGTTTCATGCTTTTAAGACTTGTATGTTTAAATTAGTAATGTTTTGATTAGTTAAGGCCTATGGCTGCTGTGGTTTGCAGTATCGCATCCTTCAAAACAGCTTTTTCAAAGCTAGAAAAAGCTTTGTTATGAATGTTCAAGCATGTAGTTTAAATCATCTTCAGATAATTGCAGCCTTGCACTTTCTATTGTTGAATTGCTTCAAACTGCCCTTGCTTTGGAGCTTTTTTTCAGTTCTTTATAATAGATATAACCTTGTGAGTCACCTCAAAGATAATCTCGAAAATCCAGATGTATGGATTGTTCCCATCCTAGAAGAACAGGAGATCCTTGATGCTACTCTTGTTCAGCAAACTCTTGTTCTTGCATAACAAGAACTGAATTAAGTCTAGATAGAGCAACCTCTCTGGTATACAACAAATACGCAGAATGTTATAAAACTTCATAGGTTGTCTTCTCTTGTCCATCGTCTTCGACTAATAAAAAGTCACAAAGCCAAAAATACAGTTGAAAAATGGAAGAAAATGTCATAATCTTTTTAAGGATTATAATTTATGTACCATCTGTGCACTGATCAAAATCACCACGAGCAATGGCAGTTCGCCAACTATGTGGGCAAGCGGACACCTGCACCAAATTAAGAAAGATCAAAAATGAGTACAAAAGGAACAGTCCAAGGTAAGTAGCGTGATCTCAACACAAACCCAGTGTTTTTTGTTATTCCTGGCAAGAAGTGACTAACCAACTCTTCTCACTTTCCCTGTTTATCTCGCACTTGGAATACAGAGTTTCTCAACTAACCTTTCTGTAGAGTGCTCTTCGCTTCTCAGCCTTCACAGATGTCCTATTCCTGCACCTGGATTCATTTCTGCAATGTGAAAATGGAAATATCGCATGTTGTTGTCTCAACGTCATTCTAAGACCTGCGAACATGAAAGAAACAGTGTTGGATCTGTCTTTTGTCCTAATCTGACAGGACCATCATCATGTTCTGATTACAGATAAGCTCTGGGGAGGTTGTCTGTAACTATATAAGTATATGATACTTACATAGTTACAGACAACCTCCCCAGACCTTATCTTCCGTATGACTTCCATATGTTCCACTGCGCAGCTATATAAGGTTGGAATATTCTACACAAATTCTGCCAAAATGTGTGTCCCTATTTGCAGTTTTGAGGAGTTGACGCCCCAGTTCTGATGCCTATGTTTATGGTTTTTTAAATCTTTTCAGATTTTAAAAGTCATGAAGTGTATTCCAGACATT